GTAAGTAACTAAGAAAGAAAAGTATAATATACATAAGTCAGCAGATGATAATCGCAAAGCACAGAGAGAGAATGAACGATAGTAACAACACTATTATTTGGTGCATGACATCGTAGCCCATTAACAAAACAACTGATAATAATCATAACTTCAAGGGTTCAACCAAACAGAACAAATGTTTACGACTTCAAACACATTATGGCCAATATCAATAATTGATACCAAAACAAATATAAAAAATTGAAAGGATATTAGATTTCCTTTTAATTTCGTGAGGGGGACTACAACCTTTATGACTTCAAACACGGAGGAACTTTCTTACAATAATCACTTAAAATTCTCTTACCATATTTTAAAAAGCCAATTTTCAAACACAATACACCAAGTCCATTTCATTGTAACCATCACTATTGGAAATATAATTTTAGAATAGCTTTCGCTTAGCAGTATTGTTTTTCAATCATCTTTTTTCCTTTGACAACCTTAAGTAACAGTCAATCAACAGATCGAAAGATCCATATGAATTATATGTAGAAGATAACAAGTGCCAAAATACAGAAACAGTGGGAGTTGACAATAACACCTAAAATGAAAATGACAACCAAAGAAAGAATAGAAAATATAATTTGGAACCATAAGAGAAAAATATCCATCAGAATAAAAGGATTACCTGATCAGAAGCATCTGAGAGTGCTTCCAAAAGGGTGTCAAATATGTCGTTCAGAAAAGTTAGAACCTGTTTCAAGTAAATTTTAAAATCATATATTTCTAACAAAAAAATACAGGCCCTGATAACAGTAACCTATGATATGACAAAGAAACATTGCCCACACTAACTAAAAATCAGAATTTAGAGAAATTTCCTAACAACTATTAACCCAGTTGTGGTACCTCCTCCCTTGATTAAACATTATGGGAAGACAGGTAGGAAACAATCAAGCAACTGGAAGTACAAACAACTCAAGAAGTGCTAAATTACCTCAGCGCGATGTCTGTTTAAAAGGTTTGAAATCCAGTGCAGTGCTTCGATTCTAGTAGCCTCCCATTCACTAGATAATTGCCTGATCAGAAAATATTCTCAAATCAATACAAATAATAAATGTTTTATCATAAAAATATAAAACCCAACTTCAGAATGGACAGCAGCTGCACAGCAAACTGAAGCCCTAATTATACCCATAAAAAAAAAAAAAAAGGTAAATTCTAAAAACATATAACCCTAGCTTGTTTTGGTTAGAAAAATTACACCTCCTTGCAATGGAGAGGATTGCTCCAACGTCAAATCCTTCAGCTGGATCAGCCTTAATGGCACGAATCTCCTCATTGGTTTCACGAGCAACCTTTAGTTGAGAGAGGCAAAAGGAGTTCAGTGGAGGAAACCTATTGAGGCAGTGAAACCAGACATATAGGAAGAGGAGAATAAACCTACCACTCTAATTTTCTCTTCTTTATCAGATATGCAGGGTAAAATCGCTCCCAGAATATCAGCATAATAGGGAACAAGCTGGTCCCCACCAAGTTTTACAAACTCATTTATCTGCACAGCAGAAATAACAAGTGTAAGGCTTTCAATATAATACAGGTCAAACAGACCTCTGAATATCGAGAAAAGCCTTTTTTATTTTTATTTATAAGAATACCAGAGGACAATGATACTAATGAGTAAGTACTTCCCTAGTTTACTCATACTTACCCATGTGATAGCTGTTAACCGAGTAAATTCATCCGGTGAAGCAGCCCTCTGTACCAGTATTTCAGCCATGCGGCCATAATCTACAGACTTCAAGAGTAGCACTGCTTGAGTCAGAAAATTACAAATGAACAAGATATATACTTTTATCAATTCAGTAAAGGGGAGAAAACCGATCATATGGAAAAGACTGGCAAAGGTTCTAAAAAAAAGTAACTAGTGAAACACATACTACAAACATCATTGCAGGATTGGTTCCTCAACAGTTAGAAGTCTTACTGGGGAGTTCTTGATCTCTTGGAGAAACTCTGAAAGTGCTGAATCAGCTTGTTGTCTAATCTCATGGCTTGAATCACTTAACATATTGAACAGGCCTGAGATTTATTAGCAAACTGTGAGTTCATATGCAATTATCGGAAAAGATGAGAAGTGAGAGAAGCACATCAATCTTTCACAGTATAAGCAATTACCATCAAGAAAATCAGGAAGAAATCCCAGCATGTCAATATCTGGAACACTGTCTAAGACAGTGATCCATCCAACCAAAAACTGACGAACATAGGGATTCAGGACATTCATACGCTCCCTCAACAGTGGAATAAATTCTTCAATGCTGTGAAAGGGAAAGAACATTCAAACAAAGGTACATTGTCAGTGTTGTAAGAATGTTTTGAGAGACAAATCCAGATCAAGAATATTACCTGAATTGATCACTTTCAGTAACAATATCCTGCTTCCAAATAAAAAGTTGAAGTTAATATAACAGAAATAAAGGCCTATTTTGAAGACAAACAATTGAGAAAATCTGATGTTTTAGGGGTAGACAAAAGCCTATATTTTGAAGTTTATGTACCTTTACAAGCCGATCTAAAAGATGAGCAGCACTTTGTACATTAGCATCCGAGTCTGCTGAAAGCTTACACAAGGCATCAAATATCTGATTAAAGAATATGATAAAATCTCCCCTTACAACCTGCGAGCCAGTAAAAATCAAATTAAATTAAATCAAGGCCAGTTGAGAAAAACAGAATAATAAGTTAAAGATTCAGCCACCTTTGCAATGTTATATAGCGCTTCACAAGCATAATAACGAACTCTGCTATCTTGGTCCGAAAAGGAATTAAGCACAGGTGGCACAATTTGCTGGCAGGGTGAATCAGAAGCAGAAGAAATATTCAACACCAAGAAGAATTTGTAATTTAAATCAAGTCAGAAATACATATTATACCAATGAAACTCATACTTTTCAGAAAGAGAAAATCCAAAATTTGGCATCATGCTTCCCCCAACAAATCACTACTCGTTTCAGGCTTATATGTAAATCCTCTATATTCAGCAGGCATTCAATTCAATTAAGATAACTTTTGACATACTTACAAGTTTACAAGTTACAAATATTTCTACATGAATCTTTGATAATTCACTTAGGTTCATCAAGCTTAGTTATCCTCATCTTAGTTTGATTGCATCTTCCACACAACAACATTATGGTGGGTTAACGATCAGTGATTTAGTCATCTAGAGTGAAAGATTAGCACACTGTGCCCATGTTAATTGCTAATTTTAATTAGCAAAACTAAGTATCCTATCTCTAACCCTTGCTATAACTAACTTGGGAAACTTAATTACACATATATCAAGGATCCATGCCCTTTTTTTGTAAATTAAAAATCGATCAATGTGTACCCAAACCCTTACCTCAAGATGCTGAGCCGCTTCACTGGTCAACCCAACAGTTGCAGCAGCTAATCCTATCAATCCTCCCTACACAAAATTCAGCAAATATATTCAAAATCCGTGCATTTGAAACTTTAACATGGAAAAGTATAAGCACACAAATTGAACTTCAAATTAGTCTATAAAACAACCAACTGGCAAATTGACATTGACACCAACACCAATACCTTCCGGTGATTCGCTTGCGGCGAGTAAGTGAATTCCGTAGTGAGCAAATTGATCACAGCCGTAATCTTATCGTGATCCCCAGCCGTCGTGAGCTGTTTCACTATTCCCTCAACCTGCACACGAAACAAATTAAAATACAATTTCAAGATCTAATTGCAACAACTCGAAACCCTAGCAACATAACGAATCGATGCAAGAGGGAGACCTCAAGTGCGGCATTCTTGCGCTTCTCGTAGAGCTTGTCCGCGAGGTTGCGGAGCACCCCCGCGGGAATCACCGAGAGAGCGTCGGCCATGTCAAACCCTAGGAATTACAATTTTTTCAAAGAAATGAATTCACCGATCGAACAACACAGAATTCGGGAGTCAAATTCTTCCGGATCTTCTCCTGTTCCAATCGGAACATTTCTCTAGGGTTTTCGCCGGAATCGAAGACTTCAGGAATCCGATAACTCCGGTGGATAATCAGATCTGCAGAAATTTGGAACGAATCGGAAATTGAAGAAAACAGCTACGCAAAATTTCTACGGAAGCTTTTGCTTTCCTTTTCGTATTCCCTTTTCGCTTATAATTTCTAATATTTTGTTTTCTTTAATTTTTTTTCTTTATTTGGTTTTTGGGCTGTTTGTCTGTGCCTTCTAGTCTCAGTCGTGGCAGTCCTCTCTTTCTCTCTCTGTATTGACTATTGGGGGTGGGGGCGATCTCGGAAGGTGCTGCTAACGGAGGTTGGAAATCTAGTTGTTGGTCGAAAAGACGGATGTACCCTCGTTTTTAATGATGATGGATAATCGGCTGAAAATGTCTGCATTTGGCTTCTCGACTGGTTCATCAAGTATTTATTCCAAATCTGCCTAATCACGACTTAATCTAACAATTTAATTCTTTTAACTTGTTGATTATGACTTGTAATTTTTAACTTCATATGTCACATCAGATGGTACATTACCGTAATACAAAGAAAAATAACAAATTTAGTCATAAAATTTAACACTCATTGGTGTTTCATAAGTAAACTATTTTCAGTGTATTTATTAAAATATTATCTTCAGATTAGTTTTTTAATCATTAAGATAAGTTGATCCACAAATCTAAAGTTCTAAATAATATTTTATTCTGTCAAAATCTTTAAAATAAAATTATAATAATTATATGATCTTTCGAAATACTTTATATTACAAATTTTTAACCACTTTAAATTTTAATTATTGTTCCTCCAATTAATCTCCTGAATTGAATAACAAAATCCAAATCCAATATTGTATCACGAGGTCCAAGATCTAAAACTGCAACATGAACACGGAAAAGTGTTTACTTTTTAAGTACTTTTTGAGAACACTAGGTAATTTGAGTTTATTTTCTTTAAAAAGAAAAAAGAAAATTGTTCCAAAAAAAATAAAAAATAAAAAAAAAGAAACTAAAGTGTCATTCCTTGTTCATCGCTACAGTCGCTTTTGCAGAAAATTACAACATAATTTAAAAGAAAAAATGTTGTAAGTAAAAAGAAAATTTTCGTACACTGCATATGGTACAATGAACAATCAAAACCGATCAAAAGAAAAGGGACTTATCAGCGATTCTTCGAGTTCTCGAAAGCCATGGTAAACAGCTTCAGTCTGGCTTTGTGGAAGGGCCAACCTTCGTACCTCCGTCATGTACCTGAAATTTCACGTACAGCAGGAACAAAAGAACTTAACCTCGGAACATAATCATAGATTGAAACTCTTAACGATGTTTAGCAAAGAAAATGCTCACCTGTTTGCCGCACTTGAGATTTTATCTCGAACCCCTTGGTTGAGGACTGCTGTTTGCTCCATCGAGAAAGTTCCACCTAAAATTAACGAAGCTCCAGTAGCACTAGTACCCATTCTCTGTGCAAACACAGACATTGCCCACTCTCGCAGTACTACTAGCACTGATCGGAGAAGGCGTACCCTAAGGTTTGGTGAAGGCAAAATAGCACCACTCGTCAACAGTTGGTCATAAGTGTTCAATACAGGCTCAGTTGCACCCTTGCATGCAGCAAGAAGAGCCCTTGCCACATCTTCATCCCCAACTGATTCAACCCCTAATTCCAGTCGATCCTACAAAGACATGAAACAAAATAAAATGAAAAATCATGTAACTCTTAAATTTTTTAAAGTAATCAAACTTCTATAGCTACTTGTGTGCGCGCGCATATATAAGTTAGAGTTTGGGCGTGTGAGTTTCTCCAATATACCATTGCAGCTTTCTCGAGGTGCAGACACAATGTGTCTAAGGGTAAACCAGCTCCATCTCCAGGATAAATGTGAGAACCAACTCTCTTCAAAACTGCACAAGGCTTCAGCAATGCCACCCCTTGAAAGAGCTTGATCAATCAATCTAGCCCAAGTCTCCCGTACGATGCTACTATCAGCATCACCAGAATAGTATGCAAGTATAGCATTTCTAGACACATCTGTGTGCAGCAGAGGAAAAGCAAAAATTCAGTTATAAATGAAAACAAGATTTCCCCAACCCATTAAGCAGAAAGGTGCAATTTGAAATAACAGAGTGATTGACAAGCAGAAGAAACCAAGTACCTCCCAAGTAATGGAAGAGCGTATTCATTGTAGAGCTGAGCTATATTCTTTAAATCTAATGATAGCTCCTTGGCCTTTTCTCGCGCAATAATTGCAAGATTGGCATCACCAGAAGTTCCACTTTGGACAGGCTCTGATGCATCAGGCAAAGCTTCTATCCTGGAAGCAAAAGCCTCAAGTTCCTCCTTGATCTTCATCTGAAAACGAAGGACAGAAAGCTTTCCTTCCAACAAATCTAACAACCCATCATCATAAGCACTTCGAGCAGAACCTACCATGCCATCATTGTTACTTCAATTTTTTGCCTGTAGAACTGCATTACTTAGGTAATGATACCTGGAATTGACAAAAACCATTACTTAGGACGACGGCTTGCACTAAAAACTCCCAACACAAACACAAAGAGACGCAAAGAAAAACCTCACAAACTATTTAGCTATATTTTCTGGTAAATATAAAACCCTGGGACAGAGTTTGGAAAAGGCACCACAACAACTCGGGTCTCCAGAGGAACTAAAGAGAACAACTATGGTAACCTTTGATCTAGAGTTGGAACATCCACCGTGTCATTTGAGCGCCTCTCTGCCAGTCTTAGTAATACACAAGCTGCAAGCAGATGCTGCCTCTTCAAAACATAATACCGTGCCAACAGTTCAGAATATTTGGCTTGATGGGATGGGATGCTTGTTCCTGAGTGACCAATTGGAGAACAGGCCGATGTTACCCCAGAAATAGCACTTTCTAGAAACTGGCACCAAATCAGGACCTCCATACTCCAACAATGCATTTTCAAGGCCCAAATCAATCATACCACGATATAAATACTCGTGAAATAATCTGTCAGGGGACTGAATGCCCAGCTGAACAATCTGGGAAATATATTTGTTCGGAGAGACCTGATTAAGGACAGATCGTGCAGCAGGCCTCAAAGGAGAACAAAACTCCCTCTGAGAAGGCTCGCCTTTCAGAGAATGCAACGCACTGATGACAATCTCATAACACTGTTCACGTTGAGCAAGTGCATGCTCTCTAACTGCTGCATCAATTTGGTCATTAAAAGCATCACCAGCTGGGTCAAGAGCCTGTGCCTTTTGTAAAGGCAAGCAAACCACTGCTTCATAAAACCTGCAACATAATCAATTTTAGGTCTAAGACATAATGACCTAAGTATAGACAACCAAACAAAACAGCACTGGGCAGCACTGGGTTTAGTCCCAAGAAATTGACCTCAAATCCTCAAACCGTTGCAAACAGTTCGCAAATCAGCAGATTCTGGAACTTTACTTAAGAAATTGAAGGCTTCTCTAACAAGACTCTCCTTCTCAGGATCTGGAGTTACAGCAGCTCTCTCAAGACACTCCACAGCTAGAAAAAACTTGTAATCAGACTCCTTATAATAGCTTGGACAGCCTTCCCGTAATCTCCCACTAATATCATCTACTGCCCCCTGCCATCGGGACCAGTATAATACTGGAGCAATGAATGAGAAGAAAATATCAGAATGAAGAGTTTGCAATAAATAAATAAATAAATTAACCTGATAGACAAGCGAGGGAAAGAAAAGGAAATTTTGCCAAAGTGAGATTCCTCAATGTTAAAAGTAAAATTGCATACTTCCACAAGAGCAGATATTAGCCTTGTCGCAAGGTGGTCACCTTCCTCTGAACAAACTAACTGATGAAATGTCCATTCCAATTAATTTCTGTCTTGTGTTAGCATCAAGCCCCTGAACCACGCATGTGACATGGTGCTGTGAAAGAAGCTGGAGCAGAAACAGGGCTTCACTGGATCTAAGAAGTAACTGCCTGATGCATTCCATTGCCCTCACCTGTAGGATAAAAGATAAATAAAAATTAGGAAAAGGAAAGAAAAAATACTGTATAAACAAACACCTTGGTACATTAAATATATAAGAAAACTACCTCCATTGCTGCTAGTTCAGCAGGACCATACCACCATCACTAGGCTCGGTGTTCCTTGAGTAAGCACCGAATAAGTTCCTCACCATACCACGGTCACCACCACCTAATTCTAAACCAGCTCCATAAAGAATAGAACCAATTAGATCTCCTAAACCAGCAACACAACCATAAAGTCCCCTCCTTTGGCTCTTTCTGGACCTCAAAAAATTCACTAGCGAACGAATTTGTTTTCAAGGACTTGCAATGCCTCAAGAGAGTCTGCATACGACTAACCCATCTTCTGACATAGTATCTGCAGAACCTAAACCACCCTTTATAACCATGACAGGAAGTTCCCACAGAGGAAATAGTAACCTTGCAGCACACAAACAGAGCCCTTCATGTGCACCTGAAAACACAGGCTCAGCCTCCTGAACAACTTGCCCCATGCTGAATCCCCCAGCAGTTGTTCTAGTACTAGATAATGCACTGATACCCCCAAGTTGTGGCATCCCAACTAATCTTGGGTCTTCAAAAGCTTCAGCCACCTTCTGTGCAACAACATTGCTTACAAGAGTTTCTGAATGTACTATCCTAGCTGCAAGCATTAGACACATTAGCAGCAGCCTCACTAGCTCCAAAACGATTGAAGAATTCTTCTAAAATTGACCTGGGGGTGTTGGCCTCAAACAACCTCCTCAGAATGTCCACAGGTCTATTGAAAACTATTTCCGTCATTCCCATAGTACTGAAAACAACAACGCACCTCCTTGGCAATATATGTTGGATTGAAAGGTCTCCTCTGGCCCAAAGCTTTCCAGATACCTTTTCACAGGACTCATCCAAGCCTTCATGTCCACTGTATTCGATTTCTGAATATAGGGACAGTACGGTTGTTGCAGTATCAGGCAAGGGGAAAACATCTGCTACAGAAAGCATTCGTCCTTCAACTGGTAAAGAAGATATGGATTCCTGCAATGCCCAAGAACTCCTTGAACTTATCCCTGAAGTACTTAACCCAGTTGATTGTGTAGTTGAATCGCGGCTCACAATGAGAAGAGAAGATGGGGTTGCTGGAGATGAATCAGAAAGGACAAGAGTACCAGCAGAATAATGTCCTGCCTACATCATTTAGGGAGAGATCATCGTTCTGAGATTTACCCGCAAGAGACATGCTTCCAAAGGCAAGTCCACCACTGACCCCTAGCTGGAGGAGAAGGCCTTGTCGTCACAACTTTTAGACAGGTAGGTTTATAATGGTTTGTATTGAACCCACCTAGAGTACCACTAGATGGAGAAGTGGTAAGATACATCCTTCTGCCATCTGACAAAACAGCAACAAGGTGTAGAGACTTGGATTCCAGCTGTAGACAATGGTGATATGCAGACTATTGATGACTTTGTCAATCGATTTGAACTTCTAGGTCCAGTTGACTGTCTACCCCCATATTGATCCCTCTGATTTATCAGATTCCTTTCTTCTGCCACTTTCTTCAATGGCCCATCAGCATTTTGCCCCACAATATACACCTGAAGTTTCATTTCTTCAGTTCATGCATACAGGATGTGTCTTTCATTATCAAAAACCATTTCAACAATGGGGTCAACAGCTCCAAACTTAAAAACATTGGGTAATACCCATCTGAAAACCAAAAAAAAAAAAAAAAAAAAAAAAATGTCATGTTAATATGTTATCTTTGAAAAGAATATCCAACTTCAAACTTTTAGGTGAAAATTGGAAAAACCACCAGCATAATTATAACTTTGAAGAGTGCAAAGAAAGGAAAAAAATAAGATAGTCCAACCAACCTTGAAATAACACTTCCTATACCAGCAGTCAGACAAACTTTCCGACAACGCTTTTGCCAGCCTGATCCAGTCGTATAATGTAGCTCATAAATGTGACCATCATGCCCAGCAAGGAAAATACAACCCTTGTCAGTACATGTGATACATGTCATTGTGATTCCGTCAGATGGTACTGTATACTCTGGCAATGGCTGTAGTGAGACCTCTGCATATGGATCTGTGCCATCAGCCCCTCCAGAGCAACATACTCCTACAAGATTGAACTGATAAAAGGCAGAGACCATTAAGGAAAACTAACTTCAACCTAGAAATTGTTAAAAGCTCTATGCTGCAAACAAATTAAAGAAACCCTTGATGGCAGGCATCAAAAAGAAGATACAGCTTAAACAAAAGTCAAGGAAGTCAAACAGAAAAATAAAAATTTGTACCTAATTATTACTGAATATTCAATTCTCAAGTTAAATATCTTCTAAAGAGAAAGGCAGACCAATACTGGAGGCTTCTGCCAAGCCATACCCGTGTCTCCAGATTGTTTTTTCCAGGGCTCGAACTGCGACCACCAACTTGCTTAGGGAAAACTCTATCCTAGTTTAGATAAACAAGTATGTCTTAGTAATCCAACTTATAAAAATATCTAAGTATAATTAAAAGCAATGTATACCCCCACTAGTTAATAATTTTAAGCAGTCATCACTAACTTCACAGGAAAAAAGTAAGAAATGAAATTCTAAAGCAGCAATTAATCTTAACACCACAATCTATGTGGGATCCACTGGGCAATGCCTGGAATTCAGTTTTCAGTTGTAGGACTTGTACCTATGGGAATATAGACATAAAATAAATCAGATAATAACCAACATACCTCAACAGGGGTTGCTAAAATCAAAAGATACTGAATAGCTTCAATGAAAACACCAGGTTTAGATTTAGCAAGGCCAACAGCACAAATAGCTTGATCCTCCCCACTATATTCCGGACATTGTCCATCCCTGATAAATAGAGAATGTCAGAGGGATTTAATCGAAAGTGTGGAGATGAAAACCATGGACCAGTGGTCAAAAAGCTACAAGTACGATGCTAGTTATGTTATCGACACCTTGAAATTCTTTACTTTCATAGTTTTTCTATTAGTAGTATTATCATTTGACTATACACTTACCACTTGTTGATACGCCAGAGAAACAAGGAGCTATCTATTGATGCCCATGCCCTATGAATCTCGGGAAAAATCCCACATAATCAATTTCCTTCCCCACCATGCTGCATTGTATCTTTCAATAAGTACCAGAGGCAACTCGCAATTATCCACCACCTCAACCAAAGGTGGCCACTGCAATGGAGGTAAACATCATTGTAAAGCTTTGGAGAATAGAACTGAATTCGAGTCATACAATCTAAACAAAAATATGATACCACCATAAGTACCAGGTTGTCAAACACTAACATGAAAAAAGGCACTACTTACGAACAGAAAACAAGTTTGAATAACACATCAAAAATGACTTTTATCATAATTATTTATTAAAAATAATGTAAAACATTATTAATGTTATGATCAAGCAACTTAGAAAGAAAGATATCCGTTCACTGTCAGAAGATTGCAATTAAAATGGCACACATGACAAATACCATCCATGCTACACAACTCTCACACACATTGCCTAAATAATACACTTAGTGATCCACCAGTGCGGTAGCGCTGAATAACAAAAAAAAATACAATAAATTCAAGAAGTACCTATCATTACCAAGTACAAAATTAATGCCGATGCTTCAGTTCAAGAACAATGATCCAGTTCAAGGTTATACTAACAATAATTGGTATGCAACTATACTTGGGAATATATACTTCACAAAGAACAAACGCAGCCATACGAATAACAAAGCCGAAAATCTTACAAGAGAAACAATCAGCCTAAAACCAACACGTTGCAATCTGAGCCATAAATATAAAACTTCTACCACAAAAATCGAAGCTTTTAATTCGCATAAATTACCGAAATTACCTCTCTGGGATGAGTAGAATAGGGGTGACTGGCGTATCGGGAAGCTTCTAGGGCTACTTCAAGATCGAGCTGCGACGCGACTTCACGGCCAATGCGGTCGCCGACGACGAGGCCTGCATGGGTGACATCACGCATAACGATTTCATCCTCCCAGGACATGGCGTCCGAAACCCTAGCACTTCGAACGGGCAAATTTGAGAGATTGAAACTCTTCCAGGGTGGTAAAACTGAAATGTTGAGCCGGTTTTCCCTCCCTTTCTCGGGAAACAAACAGGGGAAGTCCTGAAATCGGGAGCAAAATTTTCACACGGCTACGACTGACATTAATTGCAGCGCGGGGCGGAAGATTTGTAAAACAGGGTTTTGGGGAGGCTTTCTTTGTGGCGGGCAATTTAAAAGCTGCTTTGGACTAAACCGGAGGATCCGGTTCAGCCTGATTTTCATGGGTCTCGCAGTTATGGTAAGGAAGATTATTATTACATAATTAAACATAGATTTGGATTATCATTAAAGGCGAATTTAAACCGTACTATTATTAGCTCACTCATTCATTCTCTCAATGCAAATAATATCGTTTGTTTAAAAACAAAATAAAAACACATAAGACTTCTATTATTAGAACGGACTATGAATATATGTATCTGGTATAATCATCAAGTGATTATATTAAATACATGTAAGAATTGTATTCAAACAAGAATTTTAGTTGCTTGTTTATTTTTAATTGGGTGCCTATTATGTTTTTCTATTAGAAAAAAACGTTATTCCTTGTTTATTTAAGGGACCAGTTGGTGGTAAAATAACGACAGTCTACTCTTTCGAGGGCTAAGAAGACTTGTGAAGGCATTTTAGCCTCTTCTTGACTACTCAGGATCAACATTATGATATGAAATTCATCCTAAACCACTAATCTACCTCGTAGCGGTCAGCCTCATTCCATTTTTGTGTCACACATGTGAGACATTTTTTTCCTACAAAGATTAGCAAAGCAGAAAATGGTTTAACTCCTGCAGTGCTAGTAAAGGTTGGTTGAACCCACCGCTGCGTTTTCCGGATGAAACTTGTCGCACATGGTCCATAGATCTTATCGGCGACCTTTCCCTTTTCGCAAAGGTTTGGAAGCCAAGGGCTTCCAGTGGCACATATAGCGGCGTACAAGGTATTTGCTGTGCGGATTACGCAAGTTTGGCTTGTTTTTATGTCAACGCAGTGCTACGATACATTCAATCAATTCCACTGTTAGTTTTGTGGCATGTCACGCAGGGTAGCCACCCACTGCATTCGGATTTAGTTAGCTAGCCACCGGGAACTATATAAGGGTTCATGTATTATCTATTGGTCTTCTAGAAGTCGTAACGTTGCACCGACACGAAAATGCAGTTGCAGGAAAATGGAGAAGGAAGAATCGCACGGGTCGATTCGACTTGAAGCGCGCAAGATGTAAATATGCAAAACAATCGTTGAACTCAGCAACCTCGGAACAACAACATGATACATAATATCCAAAACAATCGTTTTTACTTGCTCGGAAAGGAACCCAATGCAACAGATTAACAAGATTTTGAAGCCTGTTAGCTGTATCTCCCATTTTTTGCACAGGCGTGAAACAGCACGGATAAAAACTGAATGAATCAAAGGCGACTCCAAATGGCCGGAAAACAGACAAAATGATGTCCAGTTTACTATGCTGTAATTCAAATCGATATAACTATTTAAAAAGCTTTGCAGACTTCACAGTTTCTGTACATACGGCACTTGCAGTTTCCCATCGATCCTTTAAACCGGTTCATTTCCCTTAAGAATGTTGAACTTGCAGAGAGGACATGTTGCATTCATTTTAAGCCACTTCACAATGCACGTCGCGTGGAAATGATGGTTACAGGGAAGCGTATGAAGCTCTGTCCCATCCTCATACGGGCTGAGACATATACAACACTCCTGAAAAGAATAAAAGCAAAAAACCATAAATCTTTAAAGCTTTAATTTGTCAGAATTTAAGACGTAGCAAATGCAATAATACGCATATGTAGACATATATCTGACTTGCTAAGTAGGACAAATGGATTATTTCACTAATAGACTGAAATGTACTTGCAATGCATGATAACGTGATGCCATAACATACCGCATCCTCAGATAAAAGAACACGCTCAACTGCTAGGTACCCACTGGTTGTTTCTACCGGAATCATTTTCCCAGCTCCAACACTAGGTTTTTCCTCACAGCTCGCTCGAAACCTGTATGTTGGCAGAATTCTAAGATCTGCTTCGGACGCACCTTCCTACATTGTCACACCAAAAAAATAGCCAAGAATAAGCAATGACAACTCCACTATTTTGTCAAGAAAATTTTGAATCATAGTTATAGGTTCTCTCTTCATACCTGTCCTGCAACGGCGTAAAGAATTGCAATGATGCATGGCAAACAGCAACAAAGAGCAACTCCAATCAAACATGCCAGGACAACACAGAAGATGGCAAAAAAGACATCAAATGCCAGAAAAACCACAGCCAACCTGTGCAAATTCAGAAGCAGATATAGCAGTTAGAAGTTGACGGTCACTATAGTACTTAACAGTGAGGTTTTAGACGTGATCTGCTTTCCTCCAGCTTCTGTATTCACCGCTAACATTATAATGTCATTACTCCACTTCTGGTGAAACTAATAAATTCCTAAAGAGCCATTTGTTGAAACAGATTAAATTACCAAGTCATAAAAAAGGAAATATCTCCATAAACACAGCCAAACACACATGATGCCTATATTTTCAGGTCAAGGAACAAGTCTCGATAGATTGATTACAGAAATACCAGTACAAACGTGGAGCATTTTGCAGAAGAACTTCACCGCCAGAGACTACCCAATAGAAACCAACTATCCACCAGAGAAATGACACCATTGTATTCACCGTTTCACATCGTTTAGAGACGCTAGGCCATATAAAACAGTTTATAGTCAGCAAAAATGATGAAAACTCTAATTGCAGATAAGGCTAGGCCCTGGAATCAAATACCATAGAAAGCAATCATAACAGCGGTCAAATCGAACAAGAAAGCATATTTTGCTTGCGTCATTTCCAAACAATATGAATACTAGAGATAATTATGAATTATGTCTAGATTGGAGTTTCAATGGTCGAGTTAAGTTGGGGTTTTCACAACAAACACAGAAACAGCCATCATAGCTGCAATATGTAAGTAAAAAAGGGAACGGTAAAGGGCAAAGAAACAAGTAATGCAGTAAATATAGTGACTCGGGCAACATAGAAGATTACGTATAATTGGACTGCAGGATTAAAACAATGTTATAGGACCGTCTCTTGCACTGATCAACTTTGACACCAGTTTCCAGTTTAAGGAGCTTTTTCAACTTTCTTCTTCTTTCTTTTGGGTCAAGTTTCAATCCCATTTCTTCAAACAGATGGAAATAAAGTAGTCTAAGTGTATTCACTAATCTCCAATTTAATACATAATATTACGAAACAGCAGCCCATTAATCAGAATTACTAGTCAATTAAACTGCTTTCTACCGTCCAATTTGAACTCCATAAATTCAAACAAAATTAGCAGTCACTTGGTACTACGACCTAGTGCTATTCCTCTTCACTTCAGTTGTAAATGAGTAGTCTTATGTTCGATTCTCGTCAAATGCAAATTTGAATCACATTATTACTAACCTGACTACCACTCTCTTTAAGCGTAAATAATATTTTTTGTTCAAAAAATAAAAAGCAAGAAAAATGGAACCTGGAGCGAGTGGAATTCAGCAATTCCCCAGCTGCTTCTTCATCGTCCGTATCAACAGCATCGATATCGACCTGGTGCTCCTCCTGCTGGGCCTCCTGGTTCCTCCTACTAAGCCTCCGAGCAATATTATTCCTCCTCCGGTACTCCACCCACACCAGCACGACGTGCACAATACACTGCAGCGCATACCCGCAGATCCACAGCCGGATCGGCGTGTTAGGCTGCTCGTCCTTCGTCCACAACAGCATCACCACCGACACCACCACGAACGCCGTGTTCCACATCATGTCCAGAGCCACGACCGGCTTCGAGTAACCCCAGTCGGCGCGCCGCTCGTCCAGCTCCCGCGCCGCCGTCTCCCGCACCAGCATCGACGGCCCCCTGCGCCCGGTGGCCCGCCCCAGCAGCATCGCCAGCGTGGCGGACCGAGTAGTCGGGGAGCCGAGGTCGGACGACTCGCGGCCGCTGCTCCCTTGGCGCGATACAAGAAGCGGCGCACGTGACTCGGCCTCCGCCGCCGCCGCAGCTGAAGATTCCGACGACATGCTTTGTGATGGAAATTGAAATTCAATTGGCGATTACTATTGGGAGAAAAAGAAAGACATAACGATTAATTTATAATTTCAATAAAATTTGTGGAGTGAAGAGTGAATTGAGTAGGATGGAGAGCGTGAGTTGACAAAGATGGGAGGAGGTGAGGGACAATTTAGGAATTTCCAGAGTTTGCGAGGTCTCGAAGTCTCAGAATCTCCACGACGCTGTGCTTGTGCTGTTGAATGGCAGGTGAAGGTTTTTGCTGGTTTTTTGGTAATTTTACGTACATAGAGTCCTCCGTTGAGTTTGTTTTTTGCGCCAAATGCCAACGCACGACGACGCCACCGCGCCGTTTGAAATCAACTTCTTCTTCCCTTTATTTCAATTTCACTAGATTTTAATTCCTTTTTAAAATTATTCCTTTTTTTTTTCTATTTTGAATCACACTTTTTTCTTTTTCTTTTTTTTTATACATAAATCCAAGCAAAAATGGAATGCATTATTAGCTATTTTTTCCATATATGCTATATTTTTTTTTCAAAACTAATTCTGTTATCCTGTGAGAATAAATAGATGTTGAAAAAGTAAGTGTTTAGTAAACTATTGTGCAAAAAATACAGCAAAAGCAAAAAGAGAGACCGAGGTAAGATTTTTAATATGAAAATTTTATTAATTGGTATCATTCACTTGCCGTCTATAAAAAAATAAAAATTTAGAAGTATGGGCGAACTGTTTTTGTTTCTACTATTTTACACCCATAATTTAAAAAAAAAAAAGTTTTTTTTTTCAAAGACAACTTTAACCTCAAAATTAAAAAAAAAAAAAAAATTAAGTAACTCTAAACCGGCCCTTCATGTGGCTCTTTTGGTTGAAAATTATGAACACAATTCCCATTTGATAAAGAAGCAAAAAAACAGGTGGTTAATTCATGACTCATGCTTTTTATGCATTTTTGCTGTGAAAACCCCATCCAATAAATGAAGGCGATCTACATGCATACACATATTCATATTTTGAACCTTCTAAATTCTAAAAGTCCTTTTCATCCAATTGAATTCATGATTTTAGTCGATTAAAATATTTTGAAGGAATAAATAAAGGAACTAACTACTAGCTTTCTTTTGTCACTCATAACTACAGTCTGATGATAATTCTCTTCACTTGAAAGTGAGAGGTCTTAGGTTCGCATCTCATGGATGACGAATTCAATATCAAATTAAGTTACCCATTATATAGTTAGCCGAACTCCCCTTCTCTTAATGTAAAAATATCGATGTACTCAAAAAAAAAAAAAAAAAAAAAAAAAAAATCTACTAGCCTCCTTTCCACTCACCTACAAGTCAACGCGGTCAACCAAGCAAGCAGCAGTTGCAGCGTCCAACCCAGACAAGTCTCCAAAAGGATCTACCACCACGTGCTGGTAGGGTTGGACAACACGAGGTTTGTTCTCTGATGCGCGTACGTTTGTTCTCTTCACACGTGCTCCTCTCGTGATCTGCCACCATCTGAATCAATCTCAAACTAATAACACTCTATCATGTGCTTAATATTCTACTATAGTAGATTATTAATTTGAAATACTGTCATAGTGACGTTACAAGGGTAAATAAGCCCCCGACCATCGGGGACTGCCTACAGGGTAGAAGCCTCCTTGTTTTGCTCATGCATGGAGAAATTTTGACAGATTGAAATGACTTGCCATGCAAGCTTCTCATCTGCCATTGCCCAACTGCAGCAGAAATAAACTGCTTCTTCAGATTTATTCCGAACGCCATGGCCATCCAGTAATCTGTGAGGGCAGTTTTCCTTCAAGCAAACGGATGCGCGAAACGATGCCACTTCAAGGTGATCCTCAAAGTCTTGGATGTTCCCCTCAGAAAGCTCATTTGAAAGTTTCGCAGATAATCTGCGGAGAAGCCGAGAGCCTCTCTCAGATTTGCAAAGCTGATCGTCGTTTCCCGAAGTGCTTTTGGCCTCTTTCAAGTTGCCAGTTTGAACAGGGCAGCAATAAGCAAATTCTACTTGATGCTTTTTCTCTCCTAACATAAGCATAAGCTCGTCTTGGTGTACTACCTCCGTTTTTTTGCTTTTCTCCATAACCAAAACCCCTTCTGCTGCCCTCTCATCGCTTACTTGCAGTCCTGGAGTCGAATTTCTGGTTCCCAAATTCAAACCGTGTTCATCTTCTGAACTTCTTTTCGAGAACTTGAAGTTTGGATTCGAACAGCTTCGGATGAACGCGTTGGAAGCTACTGCTTTCGCGTAGTGGGTTGATGGAACTGACACGGTCTCATTGTTTGCAGGGTCGTAACACTGAATTCCCAGCTCCGACTGGATTTTTCCTTTTAGAATCGCCATCCTCGGCTTCTCGCCATGAACAAGTATGACGTGCTTCGGGGAGAGAAATTTTACAAGATCCATAATTCCTTTGGCGTCTGTGTGAGGACTGAAAGACAACTGATGAATCTGGTAATGCCAAAAGAATGTATAAGAGTTATATATGTAAGCAACAATCAAAATATCAAAAACCAAACACTCCAGAAAGTGATTTTGGCACGCAGATAATCACACTCTGTAACGGGACTTAAATCGAAACTTAAGGAATATAAAGGCGAACCTGGCATCGAACATCAATTTGTGTGTCCTTGTCCAGATCAATTTTGGTGGGTTTTCCCGACATCAATTTATGCCCTATGGTTCCAGCCACACAATACCTAGAAAAGAAAAGAGGAACAATGACTAAAAAGTTCAGATTCCAACCCAGAAATTTAGTACTGATATCTGAGAATTAAATTTGATATTTAAAACATATGAAACAGAAAGAGGCAATTACCCGGGAAGTGTAACAAGATTCATCGCCAAAGGAGCCCAGTGCTTGAAAACCTCAAGTGAAAAGCCACCACTGATCATCCCTGGTGTGGCAAACAGAACACAGGGTCCAGGAGCATGCATCATCGAACGATCAAACTTGTGAGCTTTAACATTCAAAACAATAAGAGTAAGATGGAGGCCTCATTAAACAATTAGATATCAAGCAATGGAATAATATTTTCCAGAATCAATTCTCGTAATCATATGTGCATAATAGTGCTGAGCAGTTCCCCCTTTTCATGAATGTCTTATATTGGTACTTGACAAATTACTCACTCTTAATCTATTCTGCTTCAATCCCAAAGAGTAAGATTGTATCTTTTTTTTTTTTTTTTTCGATTACACGTTACAACATCGTATCTTGATTTCTCATAAACTACTACTTTAATCATTCAGCAAGTCAGATAAAAAAAGTACCATTCTTAAAATCAAAGGCATTATGCGTGGAGTACGTTTCTTTGACTTTCTGACTGGTCCAACTGATAAGCATCTTATAATACATATTGGCTTGAAGGGTCAAACCTGAAAGAATTAACATCTTCAGCAGAAATTTGATACACCACTATATACCAATAGGAAAATGAAGGCACTCCCAGAAATTGAGAAACTGTAAAAGATTTTCAGGCACGCCGATAGGTTTCTAGAATCATCTCAAAGATTCAATTACCCCTTGTATAGGTCTCAAAATATTCTGATCCAATTGATGTAATTATGCAAGCAATGAAAATTACAGTTCCTGCAAACAGTTAATAGATGTGGAGAGGAAAGAACAGCAGCTAGTGCAAACCTGCTGAGAAGTAAATAGGAACCTTTAGATTCATGCGCTCCCAGTAATCTTCCAACAAGATACACAGTTCCTACAAAATATTAGATTACTTTCGGAACAAATTTCACAACCAGGGCTCAGCATTGGCAACCAAAACATTAGCACAAAAAGAAACAGAACAAGATAAAACATAAAGATACAAGGAATTAGAATTGGTGTGGCATAATACCTGGGCTCTTCCAAGAGCAAAAGTTGGAATTAGAACTTTTCCACCGGCAGCAACACATTTATGAACCTGAATTAAATTACATTAAAAATAACCAGCAAAACTGCCTTTAAGGGACAAACGCAAGAAAACTTTTGTATCCAATTTTGACTGCCACCAGGTTTTACAAATGAATGCATGCATGAAAACATGTATGCAAATTGATGCTTAAAGCAAGGAGTTGCATATCAAAGGACCGATAGTTTGATTATTATGACTCTCGTAATTCAAGTTAAAATTATAACATGAACTGTTGACACTTCTACTTTATCATTTACTTACAGCTCTGAGAAATTCTCTTTCCCGGGCATATTTCGAATCGCGTATGGTTGTTGCATACGTGGATCTGTGACAGGAAAATATTAGCAGAAGCCTACTTATAAGCAAGTCCATGGGAAACAAAAATTTCATGCAGCATAAGTTTTGTACCCTAAGTTCATCAACAAAGGAGATCCAAGAACAAGTTGAATGTGCAACAGTTGTTGAGGTGCAAAGTCCAAACAATATACAAAAGAAAGACATCCCATACTCTGAAATAAGAAGGTCCAAATTTAGTCGGTCGATTTGAGCTGCTCCAAGATGCCTATCTGGTGTCATATTATAGTCTCCCGTGTACACCATAGTGGCGTCTCCCACCTTTGCGTAAAACATTGCCGCTCCAAGAACCTTAGAAGTATAATAAGTTATTAGGACTCAAGGAATGACACATCAAATAGTAGAGCTATAATTCAGTTGCGGTGCACGAAAACATGGCTATCAAGACACAGTGCATTCAATATGAGAGATAAACAAGCCTTACATGTCCTGCATAGTATGCACGGATTTGAAGGTCTTTATCAACCTGCACTGTCTGCTTCAGATCCACTGGTACTACTGCATTGAGGAGCCATACAGAAAACACCCCCAAAAAAACAAAAACAACATGTATCGGTTCCAATGTTCAAGGAGCTTACTACAAAATCATATGAAAATGTTATGTACCTTTCTTCATGCACTCGGCAATGTGATAAGACGAAAACTGCTCTTCCTCGCCCCTTCGCTCCACCATCACTTTTCGATAGTCCTCCAACATTATAGGAGACAATGCCTTAGTCGGATACTACAGCACAATCACGAAAAATCATTACAACAACACCCACCAAAATATGAATTCACGAAGACATTTCATCGAGCACCTTACCGTCATGTAAATTGGACCTTGATAACCGCAGACTTCGGTGAAGTAAGGAAGAGCCCCAACGTGATCTAAGTGACTACGTCAACCAATTGCACAAAATCAACAAATACTGAGTTAACTCGAATAAACCATCAATAATTATTAAAATAACTTAAAATAGAAAAATAAATTTGAGTTCTTACAAGTGGGTGATGATGATGCAAGTAAGGGAGTGATCGAAGTTCGACTCGTTCTGCGATTTGGGAATGCGAGAGAAATCGGGGTAGCGGCGGTGGTCGAGATAGCCCATGTGCATTCCGCAGTCGAACATGATTCGCTTCCCATTGATTGTCACCACCACGCAGCTCTTACCGACCTCTTGCCCGGCGCCTGAGTACAACAGAAAATTCAATTTAGGGCAAAAAAATATTAACAGAAGAAAGAAAATGCAGAGAGAGTATTGGGGAAGAAGGTGGAGGGGTAGAACTACCGAGGACGAGAGAGTCGATGGCCATGCGAATTGATATGCGCGGCTTCTTGGCGCGCTTTTCAGTTCTGGGCCGGCGTTTGATTCGTTTCGTGGTGAGTGTAAATAAAAAAATAGCCGGAAAATAACGAAATATATTATATGTATACAATTACGGGCTTTTATAGCCAGAGGCCCATAAAAGTTAGACACCCAAGCCCACTTATGAAAGTACACACCGATTTTGATTTTTCTCGGTGGAGGTGCCCTTGAGTTTTGGTGTTTGACTTTTCTTGCACAAGGCAACATTCCAATTAAATTACTCTAATTATTTTTTTGTTTTGTTGAAAAATTAAATTGCTCTAATTAATTATAAGAATTCGAACTTGAGTGCAGAGGACCGCATATACTACTCTTGTCAACTGGTCTAACCTAGATATTCAATCATCTAACATTGTTCAGTGATTTGAAAACATGCATGTACAACCGATCATCTTAGTTTAAGCTATACGTCGCCCTTCCGGTGAAGTTGGGGCCCATTTGCATGGATAGAAAGCCACTCTGGATCTCACTGTGTGGTGTCCAAGGGCAGGACAATTCGGATCACTCAAATAAAATCCGATGGCCTACAACCCTCCTCGCACAAACCAAAGGCTCCGCTTACTCTTTTACACAATCCAAGTGTCTGAATTTCCTGGTCCTTAGACTTCAAACACTAAGGTCCAGAGAGTATCCAAATTCATTTGCGTGGTGAAACCAAAACTCAATTGTTAGAGACATACCGGTAGATCCATCCCTTAAAAATCCGCTCGTAAGGGAAAAGTGCCCAAGAACTTTAACGCGTCTACAAGAGAGAGATATATAAACCAACAGTGGAGTATAGATGAAGTAACACAAGCAACAAAAGATCTAATCTTGATCTGGTTACAAGAATATTAACAAAGCCCTTAACCAACAGCAATCACACTAGCTTCTGCAATTACAAATATAAACTGCAAAACATACAACAACGTAAACAAAACCCAATAAGCTACCTATACAACACAACCATTGCCCACTCACGAGACGACGCGACAAAAGGTAGGTTAGCCCAAAAGTCAATAATCTTCTTCTTCCCTTTCTCTTTTCTTCTGCTCATCTCTCTAACAAGCACGGGAATAACAATCTACGTCAGAGGCAGGCATACCGACAACTTCTTTCTCCGAGGTTGCTCTCCTTTACCAGCTTTTGGTGAACTCAGTTTCATCGGCATGCCAGCTACTATCTTATAATCAATCGCAGTAGGGGGGAAGGGACAGGATAAAATAAAATTAAAAAGTGGAAAAACGAAGGACGAACAACAAGGCCTCTGAGGATTAATGCCTTTCTGCAGCTGCAAATTAGGATTTTTGTCATTGGGTGCTGCGTGTTAACCCACTTCGTGCGAGACCCCTGCACAGTATGTGAAACATGTAAATCTCTACGAGTTTGGTGAGAACAATAATCACAACAGAGACAACACTATCATTTTCTTTGCTTCAACCGAAGCAAAGCAAATGGCATATCTTCAATGGTACAACCGAAGTTACCAAACAACTAATGTGATCTGAGACATCACAGGTGGTAAGCGATTGAAATTAAGTACCTTCCAGAGAGCACCTGAGCACTGCTGACGGAACTTTTAGTATGACCAAACCGCTTGGCCCTATTCTCATGTTCTTTGTCCACACGCATGGCAGCTACCTCCTTCTCCATGGCAGCAACTTCTCTTCTCATTTTCTTTGCTTCAACCTCCATTGCTTTAGTCAAGGTATCTACCTTCTTGGCTAACATCTGAGAGATGATAATAATAACCAAACACTTAACCAAGAGTGTACATTACAGAATTAGGAGACTGATAGAAAAGAGTACCGACCTCAATAGCATCATCCTTGTCTTTCAGGCTTTGATCTTTCTCGTGACCAGCTTTCCTCAAAGCCACAACCTCTTTCTGCAACAAATCATACAAAACCCCTGGGACACTATCCTCCGTATCCACTGTTGAGAACTCAGGCTTATCATCTGAATTTTCCTTCCAGTTATTTTGTGCTTCGCCATCCTTTGTACCCTCACAAGATTGGTTGACGGAGAAACTGGGGCTTGTACCATTCAAGTTAACCTTACCCCTGTCCAATGATCTTGTACCACCATCAAATGATTTTGATGTACCTTTAGCATGCTTTAACACTGAACTGGTGCTGGAGGTCAAAGACCTGACAGGAGCTCTCTTGGATAAAAAGCCATTGGAAGTTAATTTTGGAGGGTTATCAGCCCCACCCAGGGACTGACGTCGAGAGGGTCCATTGCTTGTACTTCTTCCCTCTGCTGTACTGCGGCTAAGACTGTTACCTCTCACACTCTCCTCAAGCACTTTAAGTCGCATATGATATTTTTCCTGTTAAAAGCAGAGAGAGAACTTTTACTATACATAACACCCCAAATTTAAACTGAAAACAGATTTGGCATTGGTTGCAGAACCAGATTATTACTTTCAATTGAGCTTCAGACTTGGCAGCTCGCTCAGTTATGGCAAGCTTGTCACGAAGTTGCTGCATTTCTCCCTGTAAGAACACAGTTTGGTCATTACGGTAAAAGGTGGAAGCCAAACACAGAATTCAGAAAGCCAGTAAGAAGCCAAAAGCTAACCCCAAAAGGAAGATAGAAAACACTACCTGCAAGAATCTCCGTTCCTCCAGCCACTGTTTTACAGGCATCACTTTGTCATTAGCGTCTTTCCACTCATTTGCTACCACTACAGCTACTCTATTTGCTGTTACTTTTGCACGGGCCAACTCCCGGTCTAGAGTTTTTCTTTCCTCCTGAGAACAAAAACCCAAACCTCTTCAATCTTAAGAATGCTTTCAACTGCATATTACAGGTAAATTGAGCATTTAAATATGTTTGGCGTATTACATTCATCTCCTGAAACTTCCGCTGATAATCCCTCACAGCATTTGCCGCTGCACCACCAGCAAGAACAGCCTCTTCCAACTCCCGCACAGTCTGAGTAAGCTTTTCAACCTCAGCAACCTTTTGTCTATGCATCTTGTCTAAAATCTTATTTTCTTCCTAGCACACAGAAGCAGCAGAAATACCAAATAAATCATACTAGTCAAACAACAAGAGCGTGAAACTACAATTATAAAATTCCAAACACTGCTCCCAAAAGGGAAAAATAAAAAATGTCTAATCCGCTTAAAAAAGGAAATATCATGCATTATCTTGCAATACCTGACAAATTTCTATCTGTTTCATCAACTCTTGGTTTTTATTTTGAAGGTCATCCACCATGGAGGCCTTAGCCAAGGCAACCTGAACAGTCCTCTCAGCCTCAAGTAAAGCTGCTTCTTTTGATTTGGTAAGGCGGTCCAGAGCTTTGTTATCATCTTGAAGCTTCGCAATCTGTAAGAATTAAAAATAACTAATCAATTACACCTACAAGTACCACATGAATTGTGTTCTCTTGGTAAGACAGAATGTACCTCTTGCCGGGCAAGCTTTAGCTCAGCCTCCAGAGGTGCAAGAATGGCTTCAATCGGAGGCATATCATCATCCTTTTGAGCAGCATGAACCCTCCGTAGAGTAGCTTCAGCTGCGAACTGAGCAGCCATGGAAGCTTTCTTCTCATCATTGATTTTCTTTATTTCAAGATTCTGCAAAACAAATTTCGGCGATGTAGAATTGTGATAACAAGCATACATAATAGAAACCACAGTTAGCAACACTTAAAAAAAAATTAAGAAAAGATTCAGATTCAAATCATACTTTGCTTTCTAGAAGTGATTCAGTTAACTTCAGCTTTTCTTCCACCTTCGACAGCTCATCAGTGAGCTGCAATGTAACAAAAACATAGACAAGAAGAAAATTCAGCAACCATTTCAGCGACATATTTATAATTGCCAACGCGATTACCATACAAATATACATTACTATATATTCCATAACTTCACTCGAATTAAAATACATTTACCCCGGAACCAAAAAAGGAATGAGAACATGTTAATTTCTGAATAGGCAACTAATATGAAAGTTATAGCAGGAAGAACAAGTAGTACTCCAGAAATGGGATCCAAATAATAACGTAACCACTGCCCATCAATTAATAGAATTTATATTCCATATTAACCATAGTAATTAATCTAAAGCGTCCACTCCAAAAATTTCCAATACATATACCACAAAATTGATGGGAAATATTGGACTAAATGCAATGTTCTACAATTAAGGAAAAATTAAGACTAAGCCAATGTTTAAACATAATAGTTGTATGCACACTAAGGAAAAATCAGAGTAATATAAAATAACGAAAATAACCTCTTCACAAGCTTTTTCTCTGGCTCTATCAGAGAGCTTGAGAGCCTTGATCTGAGCCTGTGCCTCTCCTAGCTCCCGGTCCTTATCTGCAAAACACACACAAAAACGACAGTCAAAAACGGCAAAACGACACCAGGAATCTAGGGGGAAACCGACTGCAAATCTCGAGAAAAGCAGCGGATCGAGCCGCATTCGCACCTCTGACTTCATTCTCGAGCCGATTGAGCTCGACCTTGACCGGATCCGAGCCGTGCAAGAGGTTTATCAACTCGTCGCCATCCATACTCGGTTTCCTGAATCCTCTCCTCCGCGATGAGCTCTTCCCCTCCTTGAACGATCCGGACACCGTCAGCGGCGGCGGTGTCGGCGTAGCGCCGTGAAACGGTCCGTTACTGTAATCCGTTATCGGAGTCAAACCTCCGTCGCCGGAAAACTCCTCCATAGCCCGATCTGAGTGGCGCACGCTCCTTCACATCCAAATGTAGCTCGGGATCCGAAATGCCTAGGGTTTCAAATCGCAGACAAAATACACAGAGGCGCAGATGTACAGAGAGAGAGGGGGATAGAACGAGAGAGTGTTGGAGCTTTGCAAAAAATGATGTGATTTTTTTAGATAGAGAAAGGGAGTGGGTTTTGCTCTTTGGGTTTGATTTTCTCTCTCTATATTGTGATTTAAATCTTGTAGTGGAGAGGAGAGAGAGATATTAGATTTAGTTTCTGATTAATTAAATAAAGGAAGCTGGAGAGGGAGTGGGGAAGGGACGCTTTGCTGTTAAGCAGACACTGATACTGCATGACTCTCTTTCAGGTGAGAGCTGAGAGGA